GAATTGTTTAGCTCGAACCTCCAAATGTTACTACCCTTCACTCTCCTTAGTCTCCAAGACCATCCGATCTCTCTTCTCTTATCTCACCTCTAAATTAATTGGTTCAGTTTGCTTCTCTTTGGTGAGTGTAATTGTTTTCTCTTTTGCTGAGTTCCGTTGTTACGCAAAAACATGGTCATATTTTGCTTCACTTGATAAAGCATATCCAATAAAGAGAAAAAAATAGGATACCTTGTAACGTCTTTTGATTAAATCGAGCTCGCTAATCTCGATTTCAGGTTCACTTTGCATCCGGGCTGTTCTGGTTTTTACGACATGAAAATAATTTGCATATCTTGAAGAGATTTAAAACTCTCTAAAACCAATTATATATCAAAACCAAAACCAATTTTTTGGTCAAATTAGCATTTACGTCTCCACTATAATACACCCATGCCTCCTCTCCTTAAGGGTTCTACACAAAACCTAAAGGAAGAACCCTAGTAACCACCGTGGTAGAGCAGCCACCGCCGCAGAAAAATAAGAAGAAGAATATTACAACAAGTCTTCCTTCTCCGTCGTTCTCATTACTTCTAGACAGATTTTTTTTTTTTTGGAATTCTTTAGCTCGAACCTCCAAATGTTACTACCCTTCACTCTCTTTAGCTCGAACCGTACGGTTCGCTCCGGGATCGAAAACACAGAGCCTATGTCGAGAGTTTTCATCACTCCCTGATCGCTGGTTCGCTCTTGATCGAACCCTAGTTACCGACGGTTGGATCGAGGGTCTATTCTTATGTTTTTTTTTTTCTAAATTACAATTACAATTCAAATGAGTGTTATAAAAAGTTGAATTTTGTTTTTTTTTCTAAAAAATTGCATGCACGAACCGGAAAAAAGAAAAAGAAAAAAGAAAGGCCCTATTCTTATTTCTCCATTCCGTCATTTCTTTCCCCTCTTTGGATTAGAATTGTTCATAAAGTCATCAATGCAAAACCATTTCCAACATGAAGATAGATAATTTGTTGAAAAATTGTGAGATTAAATATTTTTTTTAATACGCAATGCATTTTACTTATGAAAACACTTAGATGTCTAAAAAAATGCTTTAAACATAAATAGTTTTCAATACATGCGTTTTTATTATTTTATATATGAACAACAAGATTTTAGTTAAAATATATGTTTTATTTTCATGAACTATATATTAAGATAATATGGAAAGCTTCGATTAAACTGATTATGAGGAGAAAGATACATGTGTAAATGAGGTTCAATCGTTGTGTTAGGGTTATGATCCTGAAAATGTTTCGTGTAACATAAGTTTCTTTCTTTGAATTGGAGATGATACACGTATCAAGGTAATGCATGTT